AGCATGTATGGTGAATGCAGAACATTTTTCCATAGAAACACGTTTGCCTGGTGGCTGAATTCTGTGTGGTTTCACGTACACTGCAGGTGCGGCAGCCTGTTGAAGCAGCCTTAGGATCTTGTGTGTCCTATATAACTTTTCTTCCCATAGGAATTTGCATTCTTAGTTAAAATGGGAGGAGGAGAAAGAAGAGAAAATAAAATTCTTGGAACATGATTTCTAACATGAGCGTTTCTTATAGTTCAAAGGATGAAAGTTATCTGAAGAAACAGACAAACCTGTTTAAATAGCCCAGTGACTCCTCGTTTGAAATTTTATCTCCTTGCCTTTGTTTTTCTGATTATAGCAATATTGATATTAAAGAGTCTTTAGAATCTCTCTCAGGACTTCATTTTTTAACACTTGGTAGCGACTACTTACCCTTTTACTTTTATATGACTGGGTTTAGGCTGGCTTCATTGTGGCTTCCGTGGTATAGGAAGAAGGTATACATGTGAGAATACCGTATGTGTAAAGTATCTTACTGTATGAAAGCAGCCGTGGAATTCCAAACCCTGATAACAGCTGCAGGTCCAGTGTAGTCACTACAACTGTTGCTGAATCTGAAGAACCAGAAGCATAATAATGCTTGCCGTGAGTGATCTGGCATCAGTGACCGCCACACCAGTACTGACATTGTATGGAGCTTACCATAGCCAAGTACTATTGTAAGCACTTTACATCTATAACAACTTTGTAAGGTAAATAATATTATTAGCCCCATTTTACAGATGAGGGAACTAAGTCATACAGAGGTGAAACAGTTTTCCCAAGGTCACATAACTGGCAAGTAGAAGAGCCAGGATTCAACCCCAGGCAGTCTCCTTGAGAGCCTGTGCTCTTCACCACTATGCCACATGGATTCGTTCGTTTATGTTGCTTATAACAAAATGCCTGAAACTGGGTGATTTATAAAGAAAAACTAAATTTCTTGCTTACATTTTCTGAGGCTGGGAAGTCCAAAGTCCATCTGGTGGTGGCAGCAGTGACCCTGGAGTCTCACATTGCAAGAAGGTGGAAGCAGAGAGAGCAGAGAGAGAGACAGACTCTCTTCTTCTTTTAAAGCCTCAGAACCGCACCCCTGACCACCATTTTTAATCCATTCTCTACTGCACGGTCCTACAATCCAATCACCTCTTCAAGGCTCCCCTTTCAATTACCATAATAGGATTTCCTACCCTCTTAACAGTCACAGTGGGGGCTAAGTTTCTAATACATAAAACGTGGGGGATACAATTCAAACTTCAGGGAGTTTTGGGGAGACATAATTCAATCCACTACACCACACTACCTTCTGGGATGATTTTCATTGTGCCTAAAAAGCAAAGAGTTTCTAAGTGTCAAAAAAAACAAAAACAAAAACAAAAAAACAAACCACTGTTAAGAATGGGAGAGTTATTTCCTGTGTAAAAAAAACTGTATTTTGGTTACCTTTCATCCTTTCAAAAATTTTTTTTTTTTTAAAGATGACTGGTAAGGGGATCTCAACCCTTGGCTTGGTGTTGTCAGCACCACACTCAGCCAGTGAGCAAACCGGCCATCCCTATATAGGATCTGAACCCGTGGCCTTGGTGTTATCAGCACCACACTCTACCGAGTGAGCCATGGGCCGGCCTCATCCTTTCAAATTTTTGAAAGCAAAATTTTAATCTAAGTTGTGTGAGTTCTTGAAAGTGATTTTTAATGTATGTTTTATACCACACTCCTTTTTTCTTTACTCTCTTCTTTTTTCTGTCCACCAATACTTAAATTTGGTGGTTAAAATACCCCTAATCTGTTTTTTTTTTTTTTTCTCTCCTTTTTTTTTGTCTTTTTTCGTGACCGGCAACGGATCGCAACCCTCAGTGTTGCGCCCGGACCTCTCTCAGCCAGTGAGCGGCCGGTCTGTATGTGGTATCCGAACCCTCGGC